TGTAGTACATAAACACATACACACACAAAAAAGCACACTAGGTCAAAAAAGCATTTCAACAAACCAAAAACGAGGAATACTTTTTAAAAATTATACTTTACAATGTTCTGGTTATTCTGGGGGAAAAAAACCCTTCATTTATGTTTTGCTTTTAATATTAATCACAAAGTAGAGTTGGCCTGTTGGAAGATGCACTGCGCGTCCTGAGTTAAGGCCATGTTTGCACGAAGCCGTTGGGCGGTTCACAGGGGACTTGCTCCATTGGTAGCCCTAGCGGTTTGTGGCTGTGCATGTGGTTTTGGTCCCCAAGAGCTGATTGTTTCTACGTAACTAAACGCCCGAGTATGCAGGAGACACAGTCAGAGCCCGTCCTGGTCTCCTGACCTATGGCCCACAGTGCTGTGGCCACACCCAGGTGCCGTCCACCCCCACAGCTGCAGACCGCAAGCTCGTCCTGTTTCAGAGGACACTCGTGCAGATGTCAGACCATGTGGCGCCACGTCCACAAAGTCCCGTGCCCCGTCCCACCACCCGGCAGTCTCAAGTGCTGGGACGAAGTGACTCTCCAGCAGTGTTAGTGGAAAGTAATTATCGACATTTTAATTCTGCTTTCCAAACTTTGCTCTTTTAAAACTGATTTTAAAAAATTAAAATCACATTATTTTAAAAAATCCTTTATGCTTTATATTGCAGAGCTGAAAGTATATAGTCATGTGTATTTATCAGCAAAATTATTTTATTTTTAGATACCTGGATATTTGGATTAAGTTGGATTGAGATTTATTAACGTTCTTGTTGAGGACAAAAACTCCCGCTCTGTAAGGAGATACCCATTTCGACATCTGAGATCCTCTGTTCTCGTGCCTTTTGCAGAATAGTTTATAAATGACTCGTGCATTGTGGATAATGTGTCTCAACACCAGCATGTGCCAGTGTTGAATATCAAAGTCACACCTTGGTAACCAACTCCTCTCAGAGGCGGATTGTGTATTGAGTGCTCGTTTTCTGTGATAGTTTGTAGGGAGAAGTGGGAATGGGCTTCCTGCACGCACTCCTTTCACAGGACACGTGTGTCCCGGGAGGGACCGGGCAACGGAGACGTCCTCAGGAAGCGTGTGCAGTGGGAGAAGATGCACGTACAAGGCTTTAAAACGCACTAGCACACGATGGGAGCCCCTTCAGCCACTCGAGTTTACAAGATACTACAACCAGTATACCTTAGGATAACGCAAGGTTTTCTTTCCATTTTAGTGTTTTGGACTGCTGTGCTCAAGTTTAAAACTAAAAAGGAAACTCTCTCCCATTTGATGGAAGGTGGACTGTATCGGCGTCTCGACCTTGATGAGTTAGCACTCTGTGTCCACGGCGTCCTTCCCACTCCCAGCCTCCACGTGATGGAGGACTTCAAGGACTAAACCTTTACACTCACATTGTATCTGTGTTGACGTCTGTTTAACGGTTTTAAACTTGTGTCCCTAGGTCCTGCCAGCTGTCCTTGGTAATGTCCGTCATTCTGGCGTCAGCTTTACCATCTCACAGTCCATAGGTGGGCGTGGCTGGGGTGGGTATGTGTCCTTTCTCTTCGCACGGCCATGCTGGCCTTGCTGCTGCGCATGTCTGTGCCGCCTCTGTCCACTTCTCAGATGTCTTATATGTCTTTGTGGATGTCTAAGGCCTTCCCACCCCACTGACGGCCCATTTGTGCAAAGTGGTTGGCAGTTCTCTAGCAAGGACTGACGTGGTCAGATGCGCTTGGAAAATGATAGTGATAGCCACGAACATACCTCGTGCCCCTCCTGCTTTCCAGACACCAGGCTCCTCGGGGAAGGGACTGGATCCAGGTCTGGGGCAGAGGAAGCACAGGGGACCCTGTAGCGTCCTGTAGTGCCCGAGAGGGCCTGAGCTCGCAGGAGGGCCAGGCGTGGCCGAGGGCACTGTCCACGCCGAGGGCCTGCCCAGGGGCCAGCACTGGGGTGATTTGGGCAGTAAGATGTGTGATGATAGTATAGGTTGTCACCCCTAGAACAAATGAGATATCCACGAGTCCGTAAATGAATAAATGAGAAGGCAGCAATCCAGTTGGCAAGTAAATGGGAGGTGGCAGGTCTTCTGTGCAGCACGTTTACTTAATAAACGTGGAAGGGGTGGGGGGTCGACGCCACCACAGGAGCACCGCAGCCACGGCTTCTGTGGGCAGGACCCCCCACACATGCTAAAATTAGCAAGTGAGATTGAGGAGAAAAAAGACTTGGTCTCAAAGTTTCTGCCCCAAGGTAGTTATTAATCATGAAGGGAAACGAGCAACTTTGCAGGGAGAAGCCAGGTGACAAGCAAGGCTCATGTGTGCAGAAGTGACACAGGTTGGCGTCTGACTCCCAGCGTGGTGCATGACACCCACCTGCGTCACTGTTGCCAAAAGTCAGTAACCTCTGCCACATCACTCGCAGACGCCAGCCAAGCCTAGATTAGGGTGATTCCACAGTCACTGTGGAGGAAGACGGAAGACGGAGGAAGTGAGAGCTGGGGTGGGTGTGGCTCGGAGCTGCTGGACAGCGAGGGGTGAGGGCATCCGGCACTGCGCATCCAGGGGCTTGTGGAAGGGGGTCGTTGAAGGGAAGAAAGGGCCGGGGCATTGTGGGTGGCAGGTGCACTCTGAGGGGTCGGGTGGACTGGGGGCTGAGCCGAGGGGGCGTGCGTGGTGGACGGGTCCAGCCAAGGGCGTGGGAGCGTACAGGTGGAGGCCCTGGCCAGGGCACTGGGAGCCGTGATGCCTGGACCCCGGCAGGCCATGAGGTCTGAGGTGGAAAAGAGGGGTCAGTTTTGATAATAAAATGCCAGGCAGGGTGTCTGCTGCAGAGAGTCTGGCATTCGGGCAGCCAGAGGTGACGGCACCCTGTCGGGCAGCGTTAGAGAACACAAGGCCAGCTGGGAAGGGCACGAGGAATGAGGAGCCCGCTCAGGCAGGTCAGAGAGATGAGAGAGATGGAGAGACAGAGACAGAGACAGAGATGGGGAGAGACAAAGCTCCAGGTGGGAGGGAGCAGCTGTCTGGGCTTGCCTGGCTCAAGCTCCGGCTGAGGGTCTGGCCTACGTCTGTGTCCCTGGGAGGAACATGCTCAGGTTCCAGAAGGTGATGCTTCTTGGACAAGGCTCCCCTGGGAGCAGCTGTGGCTCTGTGCCGTCTGACTGAGTGCCCAAGCCCGCAGGCCTGCCCCACCCTCCTTGGCGCCCGTGTCCCTCGGCTCTTCTGCCCTGGTGCGTGAGGTGGCAGGAGCTTTCCTCGGCATCCCCAATGTGGGGGTCTCAGAAGGTGGAGAGAGGGTCCCTGTCACCCGAGGGACAGGGCTGGGCAGTGGAGACGGCCCTCTCTCGACATCAGGCCTTGGGACTTTCCCGCGACTGTTCCTGGTGAAGAGCTCCTGTCCCCGGGCCTGGACGTCACATCTTGGTTGGGCTTGTCCACAGGGAGAGTCAGGGCAGGGTAGAAAGCGACGTTTGTGGCCACTGAAACTGGGCCATCCTGACCCACAGCAGTCCTGGGCCCTACGCGGCTGTCAGCCTCATGCCCAGGGCGCACTCTCCGCAAGTGGGGCCACGGGCTGGCCTCCGGCCACCCAGACCACCCAGCCCTGGGCCAAGTCTCGTCCCTGAGGAAGGGCCACCTGTCCCAAACCTCCAGCTGGGGGTGCCCCCCCCAGCAGTCGCGGGCAGGAGCTGCGGAAGCCCAGTGTGCTGCTCCCTAAAGGCCAAGCGGCTGTCCATGGCCAAGGTCACACTGATCTCCCCAGAGCATGGCCTGCGCCACGGAGGCAGAGCTGTGATTTCAGGTTGGCTTCCTTCGTGTTGGTTTCACTTGGCGCAGAAATACCCACGGCGTCTGCCTGCGAGTGTCCACTGGCTGACTGTAAGGTCGTTCCGCGGGATTTTCGCTGTGAGGAACCTCCCCTGCTGCAGCTTCTCCATTCCTTCTGATTTCTGGTCAAAACAGCTCGATATTTTTTTGTTTCTATATTTCATGACGTTAAAAAAATGCATTTCATTAACTTTTCCCCTCACCTTTTCCAGTGTGCTATTTTGAGATCAGTCCTGTTCATTAACCACATTAAATCAGGACCACAATGTTTCTTCATCGTGACAGTGTTCTCCCTCTGGTTAAAACACAAAGTAAACCAAAGTCAACAGAGGGAACAAAGTCCACACACCTGCGAAACCGCGTCAGTGACACAGAATCCTTTCCTGGACTGCAGGTGTCGGCACGTCCAGGTCGTGCCCTCCTGTGGGCAGCAAGCGGTAGCCCGTCCCTGCCTGGCACTTCTCCGCAGACCTGGGCACCGACCTCTTGCCCCCAGGCACCATGCAGCCTGACCTTCAGAGAGGGCCCCTGACATCACAGATAGAGAAACCAGCGCAGATGCCTGGATTGCACCACCTGGGCAGCACTGCTGTGGCCGTGCCCCGGGACCACTAGCACATGCCCCGGGAGCTGGGTCAGCTACAGGCTGCACAGTGGGGATAGTGCTCCCACAGAAGTGTCTGTGGTCCCACAGGGCTGGTGTCTGGGGTCCCTCTAGGGACAGTGTTTGGGGGTCCCCTTGCGGATGGTGTCTGGGGTTTCCCTAGAGACAGGGTCTGGGTATCCCTCAGGAACGGTGTCTGGGGGTCCCTCCATGGATGGTGTCAGGGGTTTCCTAGGGACAGTATCTGGGGTCCCTCTGGGGACAGCATCTTGGGGTCCCCTAGGGATGGTGTCCTCTGGTGGGCAGTGTTGGGATCCTCTAAGGTCAGAGTCTAGGAGTCCTATGGGGACCGTGCCTGGGTTGTCCCTTGGGAGGCTGTTCTGGGTATCCTGGAGACTGCGCCCCGGATGGGGCCTACGAGCTGGGCTCTCAGCTGGTATTACTGGGGTGTTTGTGTGTTTTTAAAAATAAAAGTTGATTTATAAAAACTGCCATAAATCATTGCTTTTGTTTCTTTTCTTTCTTCATCATGTACCCTAATAGTGTTTGTTGAAAAGGTGCTGCAGAGACTTTTTCCTGACGTTCCAAGTGGCCGAGAGAAGAGGGAGCCGCAAACTCCAGCGGCCCATAACCCGCCCAGGGACGTGTCCCGTGAGGTCGTGAGAGCCAAGCCTGTGCAGCCTCTGACAGGTGCGTGTTTTCAGGTGCAGCTGGGTCACAGGTGCTCGGTTTGACTCTGCCATCTGCCCCCACACCCAGGAGTGTGTCCCCTGGGCCGCAGTTTCTGCCTGCTGTCCCAGGCTTGCCCAGGTCCTCACAGCACATGGCAGGTGCGTGGCACTGCGCACGCTGGCACTGCTGGGGCCACGCTGAGACCCAGGACCCCTCAGCCACAGCCAGGCTAGAGCGCTGCTCTCTGCTGGGCGTTTACATGTTGCCATCTGGCCATGGCATTGTGACTTGGGGTGTGACTGTCTGGGCCAGGCCTTGCTGTCCTCTGAGAACACCTGCCCCCCTCGTTCTTTTCACTGTCCTGGGGCTCACATGGCCTCGTGGTCCCCTTGGCCTCGGCCACTAGGGACAGGCTCCTGTGGGTCCTCGCCCTGTTCTTGGGCAGATGCCTGTCCCGTGACAGCCACACCTGAGGTCACAGTGGCAGCAGGGTCGTCTGCAGTGGGTTCTGGTCAGGTCTGGTCCCCCAGTGCGAGACCACCCTGAGAGAGACAGATGAATAGGCCACATGGGGCCCAGCACACGTGGGCGGAGCCGCCGGGTCTCCAGGTCGATGCAGCCTGACCCATACCTGGGGCCCAGCACCGTGTCTGGGGACCACTGCTGCGTCCCGTCAGCAGTCATGTCTCTCTGGGCATCTGTTCTCCGTTGGATCCGGTTTCTGAGATCTGTTCCACCTCCTGCTGGCTCAGCTGAGCACCTTGAGGAAGGGACAGTTTAATTCCCGCTGCCGACATATCTACAGTCGGACCTCTGCAGCCCGCCCCAGACCACACATCCGCCTCCAGCCAAGCTCAGCTCTCCACTCACTGGAGCACATCTCGCCGCAGGAATGATGTTGTGTACAGTGATCAGGCCTCAGACAAGCCCAGAAAACCTGCTTAACCTGTGACGTGACGAGTGCCCGTGGGCTCCGTTCTGACTGGATCCCAGTGAATGTCAGAGGAGTGAACAGGAAAGTGTTTCCTTCCTTCGTCTAGATTTGGGGTTGCGCTAAGCACACTTTTCCTACAGGTTTCCTACAGGACAGATCTGCACGTTCTGTGCTCCCCGTCTGTGTTCTTCTCCAATGAGTTGATGTTTTCCAAAGTATTTTATTCTTTTTGATGCTATTTTTAAATGGATTGTTTTCTTTTATGTTTATTTTCTTTTTGGAAAGTTCATTTTTGTTGTATGGAAATACAAGGGATTTCTGTGTGTTGATCTTGTATCCTGTGGCTTTGCTGAACTAGTTTATTAGCTATCATAGTTTTTCTTTGGATTCTTTAGGATTTTTTACGTGCAGTCACATGTCACTTAACAAGAACACGTTCCGAGGATGGCGTTGTTAGATGATCTTGTCACTGTGTGGACTCCGCAGAGCACTCACACACACCTGGACGGAACAGCCGCACACACCCGGCTGTGTGGTCTGGCCCGTGCTCCTGGGCTGCAGCCTGCACAGCAGGTGACCGTGTGAACACCATAGGCAACTGTAACATGGTGAGAGTATTTGTGTATCCGAACATACCTAAACATAGAAAAGGTACAGCAAAAATACAGCATTATAGTCTTATGGGGCTGCCGTCGTACATCCAGTTTGTCTTCGACTGAAACATCGTCATCACATGGCACGTGACTGTAGGAGACCGTGTCATCTGCAAGGAGAGATGTTCTTCCTATCCTACCTGGGCGCCTTTTATTTCTCCAACCCTTGAGTAATTGCCGGGCTAGAACTTTTAGAGCAATGCTAAAGAAAGTGTCAAGAGTGGGAATTCTGGTCTCTTTTCTGGTTTTAGGGAGAAAACAACCACTTTCCACCACTGTGTTCAGTGTCAGCTGTGCGTTTCATACATGGCCGTTATCACTGAAGTTCCCCTCTAGTCCCGATGTGTCGACCGTTCCTTTCATCATGAAAGAGCAACACATTTTTTTGAAGCAATGTACCTTGGAAACTTTGAAGGGAAAACATCACAATTTGTTTGTAGCTGGAAAAAGAGAAATCTTGGCTGGGAACCAAACAATGAAATCATGATCGAAGGACAAGTACAGACTGTGTGATGCTTCCGCGGAGACCTTCGTGGGAATTCCCCTGAGCCACACGGCCGCCCGCGGGGAAGCAGTTGCTGGTCTTCCGGGCTGTGGCCGTGCTCATGTCTGAGGAGAGAGGAGCCGGCCACGTGGGGAAGCTGCCCTCTCAGTCCTTGGGTACGAGATGGAGGGGAACGTCCCCAGTGTGGTTAGGACAAAGCATGGTAATTACGGTAGTCATTTTTTAGCTAATTCATTGATACTTGTTCCCTTTACAAAAACTCTTTTACTCTCTTTGGTTCTGAAGAGTATTGATAATTCCCCTTTGCTCCCAAAGATCAGGTCATAGTCTATAAACACCCAAAATAACCAACGTGCGTACACTTCTGTAAATTTCTTTCGCCAAAGAGCCCGTGTTGGACCTTTGCTACTTTTTAACAATGTGTCAGTTACGTCTTGCGTATATTTTAGATTCAAAGACTTCTGCGCGAATTCCTGTAAGAGACAGTGGTGTCTGCCCCACTCTCAGCTGCACAGACACACACAGACGGGCCCAGCTCCTCGGCTGTTGCCTTTGGTAATCACACCCGTCTGTGAATAACACACTTACGTTCTTGCGCCCTATTTTCCTTTTTCCTTTTTATTTTTGGCAGGGGGCTAGGCCTTATGTCTTGACTTTGGGAACTGAAGATTTTGTTTTCTCCACTGTCCCCAACATAGACGTGCACATTTTCCGCACTTTGTCCTCCCAGTATAACTGTTTTCAAAATTTTGTTATATCACTGTTGTTTACATTTTTAAGTGTCTGTAAACACTCTTTCTAGCTGAGTCACATGATGTATGATTATTCTGTTCTATGTAACTGTTAGTGGAGTGTTAATAGAGTGAATACTTTTCTCATTTTTTAAAAAATTTTCTTCTAAGTACTTAGCACTAATTGCTCCCCAAACCTCCCCACCACCTCACTGTCTGTGCTCTGTGGTCAGATGTGTCAAGAACTCAGCTGGCGTCAACTTTTGTGGCCACCACCCTCCGGGTCCTACCACGCTGCCCTCCTGGCTCTGTCACCGCCCCTCCAGGGGCCCCTTTCTCTTCCTCTCTTGGGTTTGCGTTTATTTTGTCGAAACACATTCCCTAGTAGCTTGCTGAGAAATGCATCTTGGGAGATAAGTATTTTAGAGATCTTGAATGACAAATACCTCTTTATCCTTGTACTTTAAAGTTTCCCAGGGTATAGAATTCTCAGCTAGAAGTCATTTTCTCTCACACTTTTGACAACTTTACTGTTAATATCCAGCGTAACCGTGAGAGGTCAGTTGTTCTGATTCTCAACCACACTGGACGTGAGCAGTTCCCACCCTGGGCTGTTTTGGGTTTTTCTTTCTGATTCTGGTGTGGTGGAGTATGATGCTGAGGGTGACAGTGTGGATCTGTCTCTATCCATCATGCAGGTGGCCAGTGGACATGCATGTTGTGTTGTTTTCTTGATAATTTCCTCTCCTTCCTTTTCTATTTATGGAACTTCTGCTGTTCACCCTGCTTCCCCACTAGATCTCCCAATAGATCACCCTGTTTCTTATCACTTTTCCCTTCATGTTATGGCTCAGTCTATTTTCTGGGAGATTTTCTCAAACTTTGCTTCCACCCTTCCTGTTGCATTTTTGTTCCCGTCTCGGTGTGTGGTGCTGGGTGGGGGACAGGGCCGGAGTCCCCAATGTCACTGTGGACAGACACCGTGTCCCCATTTGTCCTGGTGCCTCAGGTTCTGCGGGCGCTGCAAGGCCATTAGCTGGGATGGGGGCCTCAGTGGCCCTTCTGTTCCCCCATCCTGCCCACATCCCGGGGCTCCCAGGAGCCCCTCTGGAGCACACCTCCCGTTGCGTTGTATCCCATCGTGTTGATACAGTTGTATCCCGTCCTGTTGATACGTTTGTATCCCATCATTTTGATACATTTGTTTCTCATCCTGTTGATACATGTCTGCTGCGACTGCCGCCGTTCTGGGGCGCAATGGCCAGTCTGCTGT